CGCTCCAAACTACGTTTTTTGGCCCATAGCCCTAGATAACTCTACATAATTAAGGCCGAGCCTAGTTTTACTTGGAAAAACATAGTCTAATCAAGCCCAGAAAAAGTTGAATCTCATGGATTCGACGTAATTTGGTGCCTTTCCAGGCTTCCGCTCCTCACAACTGGGGCTGAGTTTGCCCGAAAATGAATTAAATAGCCACAAGGCGTAGCTGCGCATCTAACCGATCTTTTAAGTCGTAAATTCCTCCGAAAAGTAGGAGCTTACAGCTTGTTTTCTATTTCCTGGACCCCCGGCTCGTCCCCGCTCGGCTCCGCGCCCTTCCTGTTTACGGCCGCCTTCCCACAGCCATTTCGATTTTATTTTTCGGACTTTCTCATGCCGCGGTCCCCTCCCTCCCAATCTTTTCCACAGTTTTCCGCTTTCGATAAATCGACGAAATTTTTGTGATTTCGATAAATCCCCTCAATTCCGTCAATTTTCATGGCCGGCGCGCTGAAATTGTTTTGTTTTCTTGGGGGGCATTTCGGTTGTTTTGCCGTGGGCGGCTCTGAGGGGAAAGCAGTGGATAATGGGGCCGTGAAGCACTACTTTTTGCGCCTAAAACCTTCAAAATGCATTCGCATTCGCTGACAATAGGCGTAAGTTTTGTGTCTGATTTAGTACTTTTGCACTATCGGGGGGGGATAAACTTTTTTAAGGACCGATCTTGCTAATCTAAATAGCGGAAGTTTCTTTAAACTGCTTTTTGCCAATCCTAAACGTAAAACTTCACAAATTCCATTAAAAATGCAAAAATCTCGACTTTTCAAGTAAAAACCGCGGATTTTCGCCTAAATTACAAACCCTCCCTCCGTCCGATAATGCAAAAGTACACTATTTTTAGATGTCAGTTTGGTGCTAATGCAGTTAGGGGGCAGTCCAAAATTGGTAGTAAGGGGTTACGAGGCGCTCCACTTAAGTTACTTGGTTTTCAGCTTAAGCCTAGGCTTAACTTAGATTTAACTAAGCCTAGCTTATGCTTAGGCTTAAGCCTAAGCCCAAGCTAAGCTTATCTTAAGCTTCAAATTGACTTACGAGGTCAAAATGGGTCATTTATGGGTTAGCTTAGAACTAAGCTTAGCTTGGCTCAAGCTAAGCTCAGGCTTCGTTTGTATAAAGCTAAGCCTAAGCCTAGGCTTAGCTTAGCTTTTCCAGAGGCTTCGAGTTTAAAAAACGGCATTTGGAGCGTCTCGCAGTCAAAATCCAGACTGCCCCCCCCTAAGTGCATTAGCACCGTTATTTTTAGCCTTTTCTACATTTTAGAACTGTCATATAATGTAAAAACTGTACAATTCCACCCTCTACTGGACGCCCCCGCAGACACTTTTTGGCAATTCAAATGTGGTGGTTTTCCGTGGCCCCCGATCGGGGTGAGTGCTGCCCCCCAGCGTTCCGAGCCCCTTTTTTGGTTGCGGCGGCCGAAAATCGACGGCCTGTACGGGACAATACTCTTGACGCCACACTATACCTCGCTACAGCCCCCCAGCTACTCAAGATCCAACAGATTTTTCGGCTGGCGGGTTCGCCGGGCCCATATGGTCCACAACGACTTGCTCCTCCACCCAAATGCCCCTCGGGCCCAAATTCCCTGATTCCGCAACACGCCACGATACGACGTGGTTTTAAAGGGATTAGGAAGGTCAGAACAATCGGTTCTTTGGCATTATCGGGGGAAGGGTACCAATTTTTTTCTGGGGATGATTTGCTTCTAATACAATAACAGAAAGTTTTTTATTATTCCTTAACGTAAAGGCTTTACAAATTTTTATACACGACATAAAAAATATCGATTTTCGACAAAAATTCGAAATGTTTGTGTTTTTCCACTGAAAATACTAGCTATTTCATTACTAGGTATTCACGCCCTCCCCCCGCTGAGAGTACAGTCCCGTGCCCTCAGTTAATCGGTAAAATTTTCACTTCATAATCCCTTTAAAAAGTCCTGCACTTTCCGCACCTGGATATAGTTAAATTTTATTAAAAATAGTGTTAAAAAATAGATCCGATTTCTGGATTTCCATCATAGAAAACCGTCTACCTTCTACTCGCTATCGTTTTGGCTCAAACACGGCCCATCGCTTCAAATTTCTCCAGGAATTCCTGCTAACCTGCCCTCCATTTCCCCAAATAATCTCTGCTAGATACGCCCTCAAATCTTATTCATACCGTTTCCGGTCCGCTTCCGCTACGTAACCCCCCGACACTTGATCAAGCCTATGCTATTTGTTTTGCCGTGTGCGATCGTGGGTAGGGCCTGTAGCTGGCGCTCTCTCTCTCTCTCTCTCTCTCTCTCTCGCTTTATTTGTGTGCTGCTCGATTCAGCTCTGCACATATAGCAGTTGGTATCTTTTTGCTGCCATTCTTTTATTGGCACTGCTGCCCCCAGCGGGGGTCGACAACTTGGATCGCAAATTGTTCCATCCGGCGGCGTTTTTAGTATTGATGCGTACTCAGGGAAATGCTAGCAGAACGAGGGGGGAATACTGGTCTCTTAGCGGGGGTGGAAACCTGACTTTTGCTTATTGCCCTGCCGCCTAAGCGCCCAATTTGCGAACTACAACCCGTTTCTGTAGCTTTTTGCGCCGTTTTTAGGTGTTTTGATTCAGATCTTTGAAAGTACTTGATTTTGGTGAAAATGAAAGAAAATGGCCCAAAACGTTGAAGTTTTAAAGGGCTGCCGACAGCATGTGTCGATCCCCCCTCATCAACAAATTGGCAAGAAGCCAACAGGGCAGAGAGCGCGCCCGGGGGAGAGGCGCAGGGACATTTTCTTTCCAGCGCGTAACCGATCGATTATGCCGTCGGCATCCCTTTAAAAAGTTTTATGGGAATACACTATAGTTTAGTTGCTAAATTAGATAGATTTTCCAGCTCTCCGAAATCCTCCCCCGCTAATACATCAGTACCGGGCAGGCTAGCAGAGAAAATTTGTCACTTTCTACCTCCTGGCCACTTCCATTGCCAATTGAAACTTGGCGGGGTGCCAATTTGCGAGTTCCTCGCCGCGAAATGCGGTGTTCAATCCTCCGGTCGGCTCTGTGATTTATGTATGTGTTGCGTGTGGGGGTGGCATTGCTTGAATTCGCTCCTTCCCCCCACCATCCACCATATGCAAATCGGTGCGTGGTGGGACCAAAAGGCCCCCTTCTGCCCCACCCTATTCTTTCACGCTTTCACGCGCCCCGCGAGTGCTCACGCCTTGAAGTGGACGAATTTCTGGGGGCACCCACCCCTCCACACCCTTCTAAATAATCCCCTTTATTGCCCGCGAATCTCCCACACCCGAATGCCGATTATTTCCGCGTTTTAGCACCTGTTGCGGGCCAGTGTTATCTAATTTGCAACCTCAAGGTCAACAGGGTTGGTCTCCTGTTTTTCTTGTCAAACGAAATAGCGCACGCTAACGTTTTAATCTAAAAACTGCTTTAAATTCTGCTGTCTCTCAGAAGCTATTTGGTCCCAAAAACCATTGTTTATTATATACTTAAAATCCTTCCGTTAGCCGCGGAACTCACCGCCATTTTCCACAAGCCTTTTTTCGTCCGGAAAATTTCAATTTTTATCCATTTTTATGAGCCAAAAATCATCATGTTCGACGCAATTTTTCTCTTTTTTGATGCTTTAGGTTTAAAATCAAAAAAAAAATTACAAAAAAAATCCAATATGAAAGCGGCTCTTAGCTACTTGAGAAAGCTATTCTTTCCCAAGTCTTTTATTATCTTTTTCGTCATATTATTAGACACTGTCGAAAAATTTGCTTTTTTCGGGATACCTACAATATGCACACGATTTTTTTATATAAACATCTTCATCCTCAAAAAATGTCAAAATAGCGTTGTTAACTAAACTTCATGTTTTTCACCGCAATTTTTATGTGGTTTTGCTTTTTGATGTTAGCTAATAATTTTAAAACTATAAAGAGCAAGAACCCGAGCGCACGACCTCAAAAAACCCCCCACCGCAACACCGTTGTGGTCAACTGCCGCAAAGAGCCTGGGGGTCCAGTTTTTTCTGCCTTTTCTGGCCGAACAATGTAACACCTTTCCTTCGTGCCATTCCCATTTCTTCGTTGCCCGGCTCTTTTTGCGGCTTCTCCTCCTCGTCGTCGAGCTTTGGCCCTTCTTTTTCAATCCCCCCTCTCCTGTGCCCATTCGCCCGTCAAATTCTGTTTCCTTTCCACTGGCCCTGGGCTTATTCTGCTCGCACTCGGGCCATGAGTTTGGCATTTTGCCTAGGTTTTCAAGGTTTTGGTGTAGGTTTTAATTAATGTGTAGATAGTTGAGGGTGGTGGCTAAAGTGCGCGCCTTCCGAATTTTCAAATGTTTTTATTTTGTTGTTTTAGCCTGAAAAATCGTGATTTTTCCATTTTTCGTCGTCATTTTCCTTATTTTGTCATTATTTCCCATTAATCCTTCCATTTTCAGCTCCACGAGCCTATATGTGTATTTCGGGATGACGGTAGACAGCCAATACAATGCCTACTTTCCCTCTACACCACGGTCATCTCGGATATGAAGGTGAGACACACAAGATATTCATGAAATGCTTTTGAGCCCAGAAAAACTTGGGTTTATCATGCCAGAAACGCTGCTAGTTTGTTACTTTGAGCCGAAAATCTGGTATTGCTTTTTCAGCATTCATACGGCGCCTGGGAACGGTGGGGCAACGAGCACAAAAGCTGTCAGCAGCCCTGAAAACAACCGCCACCGCCCTCAATCATTCACCGACGCCGTACAGGCCGTGTCAGATATTGGGAATAATCCTACGAGGTTAGAAACTGTTTTAAGGTTTTGCAGGGAATTATACGTTTAATGTATGAGCGAGCCTGTTTTACGGCCTTTTTGTGACATGTTCACTTTTCAGCACTAGAAAAAACTCGGTTTCTCATAACATGTCTATTCCCTAAAGCCCTTTTGTTTACGCGTATTTTTATGCCCTTTCTTCAGGGGCTAACCGTGATGTTGCTGCTTGCGTCACCCGTGTGTGTATGCGAACGAGCGATGGAAGTTCGGCTGCGAGCGGCTGCAGAATGTCTATCGGAAGATGTCAGAAAACATTGAGTTTTCTTATTTGCTTTCCTAGTTAGCCCCCACCCTCAATCAAAGAACTACCTACTGGAAGGCCCGAACGAGCGAATTGGGCGGAGCTGAACGCCAAGCAGATCAAGAAAGTGGGTATCGTTTTCCTAGGATTTTTGTTGAAGAAGACCCATTATAAACCCTTTTTAGGCTCGAACAAAGGACACAATGAACGCGGCGTCGATCTCTGCACACCAAGGAATGTGTTCCCGAGCCCTTGTCGGAGCTAACGACACCAATTCATGTTCATCCAGGCCTGCTTCCGTTTTCGTGAGTTGAATGTGACTTTTTTACGAACTAAATTTACTTTAGTCGACCGAGGTGTAGCTGGATCGAAGAAGCAACACACGATCGTCCCTGCGGTCGAGGTCTCA